TTCTTTTTGCTGGTTTTCTATATTCAGGCGATGGTTCCACGCACATTATTTTCGTAAACATTAACCGTGTTGTTATTATTTTTTTCCATCATAGAGAATGACATCGGTCAATTTTCCATGCTTTTGTCCGATTTGAATGCGAACCATCATTTTTCTATTGTTCATTTTTTTCATTCAAAGCAGTGCCGCATGAACAATAAATATAGGCGAGTGTCTTTCTTCGAAAGTATATCGAAACAAGGTAACGTCTTCAAAAATACATGACTTTGTTTCGTTGGATTGACTATTCAATAAGAAAAATGCATGTAATGAACTTTCCCAACAAAAACCCGCTTTTAAAGTCCATTTTCATTAAAAAAAAAGTAATAAAAAAATATTTTGAAAGAAGAAATTTCAAATTATATGTAAAGGATTCAATTATTGAAAGAACAATAAGATGTATCTGAAAATAATGTGAACCGCCGAAAGCACTGTGATTTCCGAGTTTTTACTTTTCCACACACTTAGTGTAGGAAAGGTATTAAATTAGGCCAAAAAATTAAAGTCACCCCAAAACATGTTTTCTATGCCTATTTCATGTAGAAAACACGATTGGAGATGATTTTGGGGCATATTAATGTGCGTCGCTGTGTGTGATGTGTCCTGTGTCCTGTGGCGTGTTGCCAAAATTTGTTAAGTCGATAAATCTTCTTCCAAAAACTCAATTCAAATTCTGATGAATCATGATTTTCAGGATGATTTGGGACTACTAGGAGACGTGCTGATTAGTTTTTGAGCAATATCTGTTGACCGGTGTAATTTTTTTTTTGGTCCAATCCATACATTTTACTTTTTTGATCATTTTTCAACCATTTTGGTGACACAATGGTTTCGTGCTCAGACATGAAATTCAAAATCTAACTTTACGGGATGATTGGGCATTACGAGGAATAGATCTGGTCAAATTTTCAACGACATTGATTGATCGATGTAAAACTTAGACTCTGAAGAGGCACTTATGAGAAAAATGCCTTAAAATGATATTCTTTTAATTTGAACGCTGAGAGAATGTGTAGTGGCGGGTTTTTTGGCACGAGAAACCCGAATCTGATGTTAGTTTTAAGATGCAATCAATTTTTCACAGACTTTTCATACAAAAATCCACAAAATTTTTTATATTTGTATGAAAGACATGCCTTTGTGGTACCGTAATGATGTGAAACTTTGAACAGGCTCTTTTGTTTGATTGAAATTTCTTTAAACTTGGTGTGATTATTTATTTTGATAAGAAAATAATATTCACAAGCTTTCACGGTAATTTAAGTTACTGCAACCATACATAGACCATAATTTCAGTTTATTCCCAAAATTTCGGTTCCATGCGGAAAAGTCAGCTTGCGTACGTAAGCCTCTTTATTTTTAGAAAAGATGACTTGATATATTTTTTCGAGCTGGATTTATGCTTCGTCGACTGGTTCGTTTCATTTTGAGAGAAGTGCAAATGAGTATCATAAAAACCATACTGTTTTCATTTAAAATAAAAGCCATAAAGACGTCATTCCAGGGCATGGAAGTGATCACATCTCGGCAACATAGCAAACATGCACTATTATGATTCTAAATAGTTTCATTGGCAACAACTACAGGTAAAATGGTGTCACTGCAAATGTAGATGCCAGTCATTTCAGGGCTGTTTGAAAAATAAATAGAAAAAAACAAGATATTTTGTTAATATATTAAACAAGGATCAATTTTAATATCAAGTTTATTTCAACGCTATTTTAATTTATTAGACTATAATTCTTTTCGGTGGAACTTTAATCGCACTCAAATCGAATGTACATCCTACATTTATATTGATGCCTTTTCTCTCCAATATGTTATTCTCTATGTTGTTAAAGTGCTAAAAATATCTTCTTATTTTGACTCATTTCGCAATCCTTCCCATGTATGCTTCTTTTTAGATACTTTGAAATCCACATTTGCTCCATGAATAGTGGAATAGACTATCCTTATGACAAATTATGAGTCTTCATATGCGTAGTAAGTCTACACTTTTGATTAAATCGCTTCTTACACTGATCACATTGGTATGGTTTTTCTCCAGTATGTATTCTCATATGTGTTTGCAGGAGAGTCTTTCCAACAGTAACAAATTTTTTCTCATTGTCATCTCTGTTGCAAAGATAGCACTCATATCGACGTCGCTTACACTCCCTTTCATGTGCTTCTTTTTCAATATTTTGTGAAAATCCACGGTGACACCCTAAACAGTGGAACAGACTATCGTTATGAGTCTTCATATGCTATTGAGAGTATTCTTTTGACTAAATCGCTTTTTACATTGGTCACATTGATGTGGTTTTATTCCAGTGTGAGTTCGAATATGCATAGTGAGATGGCCACTTTGACTAAATCGCTTTTTACATTGATCACATTGATATGGTTCTTCTCCGGTGTGAGTTCTCATATGCGTTTTGAGATGTTCCTTACGACTAAATCGCTTCTTACATTGATCACATTGATAAGGTTTCTCTCCAGTGTGAGTTCTCATATGCATAGTGAGACTCTTCTTACAACTAAATCGTTTTTTACACCGATCACATTGGTATGGTTTTTCTCCAGCATGTATTTTCCTATTACTAGATATATTCGAATTTGTTTCTAATTTTTTGTGGGATCTCTGAACATGCATTTTCTTTTTCTTTGTTTGACAATCGATTCTTCTATTGGATTTCTCTTTGTTTCCATTACTTTTATTTTTTTGAGAAAACCACTTATCAAGTGTCGACTGACCATGACCACTTCTCACATTTCCAGCTACATTCACTTCAACAACAGCATCGGAAATGTTTGTCTCGTTTGCGTTATTTTCATCAATGATTGCGCGGCTTGCATCTTTCGGATCAACCCTTCCCTTGGACACTCGTGTTTTCTTCCCGTATGGTTCACATACATTTGTTTCGTTGTTGTCATCAATTCTCTCAAAAATATTCGAGGAATTCGATGGTGCACGTTTTGCTTCATTTTCAATGTTTTCTTTATTATGAACTTCGTCACTTTTGATTTTGACATGTTCAGAGCAGTCTGACTCTATCTTATATGCACGGGTCAGTTGATTAGCCGGAACACGAACTATCGGAATCTCTTCGTTTTCCAAATCTTCTTCTTCTTCTTTTGTTTCCACATTGGGTATCTCCCCGACAGAAGCTTGTTCATTGCTTTCGTCATGATCATCCTCGGTTGTAATCTCACTCTCTCTGGATGGTTGCGAACTGGTGCTAGGCCTTTCATCCGAATCTTCATCATCGCTGATTTCAATAATTGGATTTGAGTTGTTATTATCGGTAGACATTGGAGCGACACTTCTACTTTGACGGTTACTGAACGATGATTCACATTCAAATTTGGAATAAACTTCATTTAATCTAAAGAATAGAAAGGAACATAATGATAATATAATGAAGGGCATAAAATACAAAATTCAAGGATGAATTACCTGTCAGTTGAGCGATGTAGACAATATGTCTGATGTGCTTGGTGGAACGATCGACCTGATTGTTCGAAACAGTTACTAATATTTCGTAGTGAAGACATCGCCTGGCGTTCAATGTTCGTCAACATTTGGTCCAGTTCTTGCATCCAATCATCGGCCGACATTTTCGAACAATTTCTTATGATATGATTCTCGACGACAATTTAAAGGGAAGCTTTCAGTTTAGTTTTTGAGACTCAAACAATTTAATATAGGGCACAACTTAAAAAATTAACAAAATGCACCAAGTACAAAATTGAATTCATGTGAACTTCACAAGGTGTTTTCTTAACGAAGACGTGTTCACGACTGAATTTGAAGAAAATTTCCTTTGAAGATTTGAAGTTATTTTACTTCAACAAATAAAATGTAAAAACAACAAGAAGAAGCCATTTTGAAACATTAAGACAGACTAATTACGAACTGTTTTTATGGTGCATTGTTCCTAATGTTAACTTTTCAACTTTGGATTTACCATAGTAGGTAATGTGTTAAATGCATTTTAAACAAACAAGAAAATATTTCATTAGTTAGTAGCAATAAAATTCTAAAAACTAAAAATGAACGGGAGAAATCTTTTTGCACTTTCTTACTCTTCTGTTCGTTTAAACAATAGAAAGCATCAACATTATAATTTAAGGTGTAAATTAGTCTTCAAAAATGGTAGATTAAAAAAGATCCTATATTTTTTCGGCAAAAACACACTGCAATTATGTTCCATAAGGGACTGGATATAATGCAAAACTGTAGCACAGCTAGCGCTACTACGGACAACTATGAAGATCTAGTCAGTTTTTTTCTCAGCCATAGACTATTGGTTAGCGTGCCATTTTTGTGAGCGTGAGTTTCAATATATATTGTTCCACTTGCTCCGGTTCGTTCAGTAAATTTCGGTTCGATTCGCTAATTAATATTTACTAATTAGTTCGATTGACATTTCGAATACGTATTACGTATTGTTATTGAGTTGTTATTTTCGTATTATTATCGTTAATGAGTTCTCGCACGGATATAAAAATGGGTACATCATACATTTTCTTCAGTTACTTTTCTCTGCTTAAAGTGAAAACATCTAACCAAGTAAATTCACAAATAATCAGTGTTGATCATACAGTTGTACCATATATCAAAATGGAATTATCTAAACGTATTTCGTCGCAAGCTGAGACTAAACATTTTTCATCGAAGAATTGGTCAAATTTGTACTTGGACAAAAGCACTGCCGATATATACTTCGTGTGTGGTGTCCAGAAGGAACGTGTACCAGCCCACAAACTAATTCTTTCGCAAACAAGTGCTGCATTCTATAATATTTACTGTGGTAAATCAAGTGGAAATGGTGTCGATGAGGTGGAATTACCAGAAATATCACCCAAAGAATTCAAGGAGTTCCTACAATTAATTTACACGAATGATGGTCTCTTTTATGCTTTCAACATCATGGAAATTCTTGATCTATCGGATAATCGATCAGTGACTTACGACACCAACACCGCAAAAGAATCAAAAAGGGACATCTTGGATATTCTGAACGACGAATGCATCCAAGCAGTCCTACAAAAATTGAATACCGTTCAGGATTATATAAGCGCGGCTGAGGTGTGCGTTCAATTCCAAAAGAACGCAAAAGCAACTTTCCCATCAAAATTCGAGGCATTTGAAATTCGGGACAATAAATATGGACCGTTTGATCTGATGACACCAACAATTATCGACAAATTTCTGAGCATTTTTGGTCCATTAGTAAAGTCAATTCGTTGGGAAAATGTCCGGAGTCGTAAATACGATAGTGATATTCTTAACATCATTGCTAAATATTGTGGTGATTCATTGAGTGAACTGCATATTTTGAATCGTGATTTTGGTCATGGCTATACTAAAGACCTGAAGCTTCGATACCCATTCAAAGCTCTTGAAAAACTTACATTGGACAGATGTATTATTATATCTGAATCCGATTCTTACACAAAATTAGGGTGCTCAACATTGGATCAACAAGTGAATGATGCCATTAAGCGACATTTTCCAAATTTGAAACAATTTGATTGGGATTTGGATGAAGGAAAGGATGACCACCCTGCTAAATTCACTACGATGAATTCACAACAGAAACCAAATCTCAAACAAATGTTCAATCCGATCTCGGAAAAAACAAAAGTTTTTTACCCAATTGGTAATAATGTCCTGGATATCCAACAATATAGATATATTCGTGAACAACAACGACTACAACAATTCATCGCCAATAACAGCAAATTTTACCCTTCGCCGCAACACCTCTTACACGAAATAAATAAGTTATATGGCCGGTAATTTACCCAAATTCAAAGAGCAATCTCTTCAATGATATGGACTTGACTACTACTGGAATCATAAAAATACAAAAAAATTCAGAAGATGTGTTACATGCTAATGCTTATTGATGTATAATAATGAATATATATTTGAATGGCCGAAAGAAATGCTTATTATTATATTGTAATAATGTATCATTGTAACTTCCTTTTCTAAATAAATAAAAAACAATAAATAATTAAGAAAAATGTGTCTCTTTATTTCATTTTCCATTACCTGAACAGTGGCACAGAAAAAAATATCATTGACACCGAGTCAAAAATTATATGCAATTGTAATATCTAGGGGCGAAAAAATTCACAAAATTCACAGGAATTCATTATGAATAATTTTAACAGTTCAGGCGCGCTAACAAGCCGCCATCTTGGATTGTCATATACAATGCATACAAATTCACTGAAATTTACCGAGATTCACATTTATTCCAAAAATTCTCAGACTCATTAAATTCATGGAATTCACAGAAATCCTTCTATTCGGTATTCGAATTAGGCCCCTAGTGTAATATTGTTTGTGTTTCATGGTCAAATTTTTTGGATTATAAAAAAACAGTATAAACTATATATAGTTTATAATGACGAAATAAGAACAATGGAGACAAGTAAACTGTCAGAAAGTGTGAGAAAGGCATACTAAAAATAGGATCATCGCTTCTGAATTTGTTTTATCTCATAATTTTTGGAAAATCTAGTGGGTGATTTGGTCTCCGAGTAATGAAGGTCCTTTTGGTTCCAACATTTTTCGGCAAAAATCCTCGTAAATCGACAGAATTTTTCTTGGCAAAATCTCTACCCAAAGATACACGCCACATGGAGGCAGTTAGTCTTAATTTTTTTTTATACCGTTTTAAATTTCGATTATAGTGAAACAAAAGTTTAAAAAAAATCATTATTTTTATGCATTCTTGACAGCTTCAAGTAACCGCCTAGTGGTTGTCTTGTGAATCATATTACTTTATATGTTAATTCGCATCAATGGAATGGAAGCAAACGAATTTCTTTGTTCCAACGTGAGCACCACAATCAATGTTTCTCCGAACTAACAATACACGAGTTGGTATCAATACGTACACAGACTGTGAACAACAATCGTTCACAGACAGTTGACAAAACGTAAGATGTGATATTATGTCAACTACTTAGTAATAAAGTTAGTATCAAAAAATTGATAGAGGGCCAATACCTTGAACAAAGTTTAGTAGTGATTTTGTATAGGAAAGTGACAATGCTTCCACAGTATGATTCGCATGCTCTTAATTTGAAACGAACCCCAGCATTCTGCATAAGTATGCAGCTGTAGCTAACTTTAAGACATCACAATGTGTGGCTCTCATGCAGAGCCACCTTCAGTCGATACACGTACACTAGGGTGGAACATTTTTGGCACAATTTGGTGGCCACTTGGGAAAACATGTCTTATAGTCCCCAGATTCAAGATATGAAGGAATTTTCAACTTAAGGTTCCATATAAGACAGCGACTTGAAAGGAAAGGAGGTACATTTTACTGGAAAATCATGAAAAATTGCAGTGATCCAATCACCATGAAAACTTGTGAATCTTATTTTCTGACCAAAATAAGTAATATCACCAAGTTTGATGAAATTTCAACCAAAACTAAAGGTGCCTCCCATTTAAAAATTTATTTATTTAATTCCAAAAATTTATTTTTTTTCTCAAAATCAAAAAATTGAAAATTTTGTAGGGGAGGCACCTATATTTTTAGTTGAAATTTCATCAAACTTGATGATATTACTTATTTTGGTCAGAAAATAAGATTCACAAGTTTTCATGGTGATTGGGTCACTGCAATTTTTCATGATTTTCCAGTAAAATGTACCTCCTTTCCTTTCAAGTCGCTGTCTATGGAACCGCAAGTTGAAAATTCCTTCATATCTTGAATCTGGGTGGCCATCAAGATATGGCTCGAAATTCAAAAAAATGTTCCACCCTAACGTACACATCAAACCCATTAGCACTTATACTTTTTCTGTATTTGCCACTGGTGGCAGCACTATCAACTTCCTAATTAATATTAATAATGACTCATCTTGGATTCAACAGATATAAAGCCATTATTATTCTAGACATTGTCAGTTTACAAAGAGACAACAAACGAAGCAGACGTATTTATCAAAACAATCACCATATATTTAACACTCGTCTTCTCTTGTTTCGGTCAAACAAAGTTATTCAGCATTTGTTTATTGTGAATATTTGAAAATCATACAAATTATTTCGAACATTTTTGAATTTTTATTTAAATAGTGAAAATATTCTTCATTGAAAAAAAAGAATAATTAACTTTTGAGTTTGTGTTTTATTTTCACCAGTGAGTGTTTGTTTTAACGAAGATTTTGTTTGTTTTCAATTTAATAGTTCTAATTCATCCAAGATGGATGGCATGATTTGCAAACACTCTACAAGGACGAAAAATCCACACCGTTCGGCCGACTCTTCCAAAAAACGAAAAGCTCGCAGCAAACCTACAGTGTATCGCATTGTTGTACACAAAATTTTTAACCAAACTGTTGACAGACACATTCCACCGGCTGAAGATTCACCGAAGCACATCCTACATGCCCTCAATAATGATTGCTTTGGGGGAATTTTTCGTAATTTGGAAAATATTGAAGATTTTTTAAGCGTAGCCGAGGTTTGCGTTAAATTTCAAGAAAATGCTATAGCTTTTATGCCACAGAACCTGAAAGATTTCAAAATCAACAAATCAGATAGTAGGTTATCGTTGGATCGTGTGCCCAATTTCATAAGT